TTTTGTCACTTTTGTACCAGTATTGATGACTCTTCTACTTGGCAATCCAGGCTGCTTAGTCAGATAAATACACATTCAAATATAAGATATTTAGGTTTGCATTGAAAATTGTAAACTTACATTGAGAGTTGTAAATCCATCTTCAGCTTGGCATATGCCAACACCTACCATTCTTGGCCTTTTAAAATGTCTTGCTTGTCCTCCACTGTTATCCTCATGTTCTACTGGTCTCTTCCCTCTTTCTAGGCCTCTTCCACTGAACTAGTTTGACTATGTTGAGTCATTCCTCTTCCTCTACCTAGTCCTTCATTCACATTTCTTTCTTGAGGTATTCCTCTTCCTCTACCTGTTCCTCTACCTCTACCTCTACCTGTACCTCTACCTCTCCCTCTACCATTTACAGTCTGTACTTTGAAACCAAAATATTAAAGCATATCTATGTTGTCTAAAAATGATATAATAATTAGATATATTACCTCTGTGTTTGTAGCAGTTCCATGTGATTGAGTTGGAACACCTATAGAACTTGAAACTCTTCCTATGCCTCTTCCTGTACCACTTTCATTATTTGTGGTGGCCTGTGAAGAGGCTCTAGGTGGTTGAGTTGAACTACTAGCCCTTGCTCTGCCTCCTGCTACTCTTCCTGCACCTCTTCCTCTACCACTTTCAGTAGCCTGTATATTAATATATCAATACATGTACATATAACTTACATTTGAAAGTAACAAATAAAAGTGAGATGGTTCAGTTGATTGACTTGGACCAGCTTGGTTTCTTGTAGGACATCCTCTTTTATTGTGTCCTTGTGTACCACATTTGCTACAAGTCATAACAACACCTCTTTTGCTAAGCTTTCCAGTTTTTCTGCTTTCATCTGCCTCCTTTCTTCTAACCTTACCTGGTCTTCCAGGCAACTTCTTGATCTTTGGTGGCTTTACAATTGGATTATTTGATGTTGGCCACATTTTCATGTTATTCATTGGCTGAATAAAATGGGCATATGTGCTGAGGTACGTTTCCTTGCTATAACAACTAGCCACATAATGGATTGGTTCCAACTCCTTGTAATGAAGGGCAGCAACACCATGAGGACAAGGAATGCCCCTGAGCTGCCAGGATCTGCAACTACAACTCCTACTAACAAT